AAATAGAGCGAGTTGTGGGAAGCGAGAGGAGCAGCTATCCTGGCTGGGGAGCTTTAAAGTCAATGTGTGTGGTCAAAGTAATAAAGAGAGAGAGCTAGAGGGTGAACAATGAAAAACTTGTGAGCCAACCATTCCATAATGCTAAAGATTTACTGGCTAGACTGGTTAGGAATTCATTTTAGATTGTGTCTTATTGGATTTCAGTCTTGTGAAGTTTTCCAAAAGCAAAAGGCGGGTTGATTCATATGATAAATGTTAAAGTTGTTTGCGTGCAGGAGGAAACAGCACTGAAGAACACTGCATGCATCAGATTTCCCTTGCAGCTTAAAGAATCGGCCTGATTCCTGTTTCTCACTATCGGCAGAGCATGAAAGCTGCAAAGTGATTTTGAGCTGCAGATAATTTGCTTGCACCTGCAAAAACTTGAGCTTTTCGCAGCAGCTATTGTGGCAAGATGGGACAAAGGGAAGGGCAGGACATAGCCCTTGCAGCTGTGCATACAGGACACCACTGCAGAACACTAGTAAAGTTCAACAACCAGGCAGAAGAAGCCGAGACATAAAAGAGCTGTGAAGAATTCAGACTGGTTGCTTATTTCCCGACACCCAGACACTGGAAGCATTGACCTTGATAAAAGTCTGTGCTTGTACTCCTGTGAGTTTTACCATCACTCTGCATTTACACAGGTCAAGGATGGTTAACCAGAGTTTGTATGGAGGGAAAATACGGGTTCTTAAAGGAAGATATTCAAAGACACGGACAGATATCTTGTATTTCTTGTAATATTTCAGCTACAAGCATACAGTGCTAAAGAGAGGGTTGCTATTACAGAGGTGACAATAAAGAATATAACAGGTTTAATTGTTAGCCTAAACAATATCATATTAATCCATGTAGCCTGAAGGATAAATGTGATTCACACAATTTCAGAATGAATGAATGTAATTTTAGGTTTACTTATGCATTATGCATTCCATTGTCTGTGTAAAATGGAAAACAAAATGCAATGATTGTTTTTATGACAGTAACAACAAATAAAGGCATAATGCCAAAATTTCTCATTATTTTAGAGACTGATTACTTGTGAATTACTATAAATTAAAAACCTGGATAGGCATTTTACACAGTGTGGAGAAAACCCTTATCTAATTTTATATTCATAAACTGAATATTGAGATAGTCCTTCACCTTTTTCACAGATTTTCAGAGGCAGGAAATTAAAAAGGCAGCTGTTTTATTGAGATAAGCCGCAGTCTTCTTGCGTGCATTTATGGCATCTTGCATGCTAATGGAGTCATGGCTGCTCACCAATGTGTTTTTTTTAAACCCCCTCAGGTGCAAAATTGTGATGATCATTCATGGTCTAAAACAGTTATTCATTCACTAATGTGCCTCCCTAAAATTTGGCTTGATGTGTTGCGTCTTTCATTGAGATCAGTTCTGTATAGCAGCGGAGCTAATTATTTGTCTTACAGTCTGTACACACGCTGTCTAGTTCTGTCCATGTCTGGAATTAAACAGTGTGCATAATTCTCACTGGATTGCCGCCTGGCTTTAGAAAGAAAGAAAAATAGGGGTGAAAAACGACTAAACTCACCTCTGCTTAAAACGAGAAAGGAGATTCTGTAATGAGGGTTTGCACATTCAAGCCCATTCCTCTGTGTGCATGAACAGGCCAATTTGCAAGCTTCCTGCATTCATATTGTTACTGACTGTGGCAGTAATTCCACACAGTGTCTGAGTCCCACATATCACCTCTTAATAGAATTTTTTGAATTCATGCTCACACCTTATTATCAAAGACGGTGCTGCTGGATGAACCACCCCCTCTTTTTAAATGCCACTCGTGTACATGCAACATACGTCTTAGTCTATTTGTGTGAATCACTGAATACCAAGGGACTGTCACTGGTTAACGGTGCAACATTTTTCTTATTTAATAGCCTTTAAAAGAGAAACCTTTAGCAGTAATGGCCATTCCTAACACTAAACACTGTCTATAAGATGTCTTTTGGTTCAAAACACCATGTCAGCAGTGCAATAGTCACAGGGATATACACAGAATATATGTGTGACTTATGTGTGATATACATAAATGGATATCATTTGACACTAAGCTCAGGTCTTATGATGTCTGGAGAATACAATAAAGGCCATTTCAAGGAGAAGATAGACATTAGCTTTGGCTACAGTTGTTAGCAATCCCGTTTTAAGTCAACATGGTAGTTTCTCTGATAAATCCTACTCAAAGCAGTTCATAAGCTACATTACGGTACAGTTCTGTAAGCTTATGTGCAGAGAATACATTGTATACTGCCATGTACTGTAAGTATTTTTGGATTTAAAAAAAGGGTTGTCCTTATTAATCTGGCAGCATTGCAAAGAAAAGTAATCAGTTCATATGATAAAATCAGATATCACAGCTTTAAACACAATGGGCTTCTAAAAAATCTTGTTCTTGTAGGCCGTAATTTTGAAGAAAAACTAATTTTGACCACGGTTTCTTTCACTTCAGATGTAATCATCAGTTAATATTGCAGAGTAGGGATGCAATTAAGTCATATTTGGTTAATATTGTTTGAGGAATGTCAAAAAAATATAAAAATGTCCAATGTGGTGCCATCAAACGTTTTGTTTTGTGCAACCAAACCTAAAAAATATGTTGTTATCACATAAGGCAAAGAAAAACAACAACTCCACACACTCACATTTTTTTTCATTTTCAAATGACATGGGATAGCATTTTTAAATGGCGTCCATATTTATTTCAGGCAACACAATGATCACAGGAGGATCTGTGTCAAATCTTACTGAGGCACCCGAAACACAAAGCAGCGTGAAAGGGGAACAAGGCAATGTGACGCACTAATTGTTATGCTGCAGGAGTTCAAGAGGCAACTGGAAGGTCAGTAAGAGCATACTATGTTTACTAATCCATGTCTGACTCAGAAATACTGCAACTGCTGAATAGTTTCCGGCATGTCTTTCATAATATCATCCACACCCAACATGTGGTCAGCTGTTCGAGAGACGTTTCATTTTGAATGTATGTGTCCAGAGAGAAGAAAAACACCTTAAGTCCCATTATTTCTCCTTGATTAAAGTATAAAGCTTTGAGAATAAAAGCAAACAAGTATAACCAAGTCTGTCATCAGAAAGCTGGATTTACAATAAACTCATGATCAGCATCTGAAATCATGACCTTTAACCAGAAGACAACGGTGAACTTTTGATCCTACAGTGAGGGAGTACAGCATGTGATGATCTGAAGAAATAACCAGAGTGAACCAAGTGGATCACGATTTGAATGACTCCTCTGCATTTGTTAAGCTTAAAAACTCAAAGTATGTAGTCTACAATTTATTGTGCAGAACTGTGTCAGAAAAAGTTTGAGTAACTCAATCAGTCAGTCTTTTCAGGATATATATGCTTTCCATATCACAAGGTTTGAAAAATAAATGTAACTGCCAGGATAAAGTAGCTTGTGATCTTTTTTACATTGTTCTCATGGGAATCTTCTGCTCTCTGGCAGATTTTTCATCAGTTTCTATCTCAATATAGCCTCTGTTTTAGGCAGCCTGAGCTTAACAGATTTTTATAATGAACTAAATCACAGGCTACATAAGGTAAATCACAGAAAAACCTGAGGATAGGCATTACTGAATGCTTCTTTCATTTGAGCCTATAATAGTTGCATGGCTGACTGTCACAGATTTGTTCTGTAAAATGAAGCAGAAAGAGAGAAATCAAAGTATCTTATTAATCCAGTGATATGTAAAGCAGATCTGTTGTCGTTAACTCGCCATAATATCTCAGCAAGGCAGCGTGTACACCAGCTGTGTTTGAAATGGGGCCGGCATCCGGCACCTCTAAAACCATTCTTTTCACACTGGGGTGTCACTCTTTCATGTTCTTATGTTACATCAATGTAAAATATGCTGCCTCTCAGTGGCCATCTGGAGAGGGCAGGTCTGGGCTGTGATAGTAAACGAGTGGATTACAGGGGTCAGTTTCTTGCTGGATGCACAACGGGATGATGTAATGTGACAGCTCCGGTCCGTAAGCTGCATGCAAATAAACATCTCCTACATCAGCGTTAATAGAAGGCGAAAATCACAGACTCCTTACGAAAGGGTTTTTAAATCTCAGCTCTACATTTCTCCCCCCAGATTGTGCACGTCAGTTATCAGCCTGGCACACAGTCAGAACACTGAACTGGTCAGACATTGTAAGTCTCTGCCCTGCCCGGTGTGGTGAATTTTCCAGATCAGAGGAAACTGGAGCAGAGAGAACCAGTTATGTTGGAAGGAGTGGAGGCTGAAAAAGCTGAAGAGGAAAGGAGGGAGGGGGGTGTGGGGGTTTTGAGGGGGTAGTGGTGGTATTTTCCTGCATGCAGTCTGATCCTAAAACACAGGTGCAACCTCCATGCAGCTCTCTCTGCCTTTGAGCACACCCCTCCCACACCCTTTCTCTGGGGCTGCAAAGTGTTTGTCCATCTGATCCTCCATTAAATCCTGATTATTATGGATTTGTCTTCTTTCCAACCTGGTGATTTGCATAGATGAGGCACTGCTAAAGGTTATCTGTCGACGAGGGAAGATCTGACAATAGGTCTGCTTGTTGGAAATCAGTGTCACAAATTAATAATGCAATGTGTGCGTGGAGTAATTCAGCTTTAAACTCTTTATTTCTGTCGTCAATGGTGCAAAAACTTGCATCCAAACAGGGCAGCCTATTCTGAAATAAGACAGGAAATAGGGCACTCACTACCCTATTAAGAGAATGACAAATGACAGTGCATGGGTTTAGTTTGTACATGCTTTAACAGAAAAATACCACTGCACAAGTCAATTTTGGCTTGTTTTGTTCCCCCCCAATGCAGCTGAGTCCCCATCTGAGGACGTCGTGTCTCCCGGAGCGTCGAGAGAAGTTAGAAAGAGAAAAAAAAAAAAAAAGAGGGGGTTCACAGCTGAGATGTGGGGCTCCCATCGGCGTCATGCAGAGCCGATCATTGTCTCTCTCACACTTTCTAACTAGCCATTTCACAACATCCAGACAGCGGATCGGTCCGTACGCAGCAGCAGCAGCAGCAGTAGCTTCACCCTCAGGGCTTTTTTTCTCCCCTTCCTCCCCCCGACGTCGACCATAACTAACAATCTGGATTCACCGCGCGGATGAGGGCAATTACTGGACTTAATCTATCATAATGTCTCCTTTTCCGATCGACTTGATAGTCAAATGAGTTAGGCAATGGCCGAGGAGATCTGACTCCCCTCCTCCCCCCTCTCCTCCTCACCTCCTCCGGGTGCGAGAAGTGGCTGTTTAAATGAATCCCAACTCTAAAGAGGGAAAAAAAAAGCACTTTGATTTCACTGTGAAGCAGATCGGTGGACATCATGTACAGATCGGCGGGTTTTACACTCAGAAAGCCGCTGAGTGCGTTTGATTTCGGATTACTGTGACAACACAGGACGAGTTCTTTGAAGGGGAGAATTTTTTTTTTTTTTTTTTTTTAGGAGTCTGCTTCCTCTCTGCTCCTGTTCGCCTGTCCTCCGGGTTCCTGCAGGACTCCAGAGTCGCGGAGAGCTCATGCAGTCGCCAAGGTCGGTTCGGCTGTTCTAGCTAGAGACTTATTTTTTAAATTTTAACCATCGACAGTCTGAGTTAATTTCACACAGGAGTCTCAGGTTTATGCGTTGCATGCTTGGTTTTCAAACTATATCTCTGTGCGTTAAGATGTGTCTGCTTTTCAACCATCTGTACAGTGAGGGGAGCTGGATTTCTGCAATATTAAGAACTTGATTCATTTGCAAATGCATTGATAAAAAAACTACTCACTTGACTTTTAAATATAGAAGAACGGACAGTAAAACCGTGCAGCACTATTTAGTGTATCATCTTGTCAGCATTTATCACAGCAGCAACACCTTTGAGGCTAGTTATATCTGACACGGGATAAAGGATGATCTCCAGAGCAGTGCAACAGGACAAATGCGCCTGCTGGCTGCAGATTTTCACCTTAAAAAAAAAAAAAAAAAATCCTAATTGCATGACAGCTGTAATTACACCAATAACCGAGCTGTCTATAAAGCTCAGATTTAATGACAGGTTTGGTTGTCCTCGTATTGCCATGTGCGTTTGTGTCATGATTGGAGGTTTCATATCAGAGCTCATAAGAAGCGCCATCTGTTGGAAAACAGGATCAGTGCGCAGACAAGATGCACACACACACACACACACACACACACACACACACACACACAGAAAAATGTAGGCTAGTGCACACAATGTGACTCTGCACGAAATGGACCATATATACTTACATTACACCATATTTAGGATGTGGAAATGTCAGAACTGTGTCTGTTTTAAGTCATTTATGACGGGTTGAAACAGATGGGATCAGAGGTTTAATGCAGCACGCCATAAAACGTGAATGGATTATACTTACTGGGTTTATTGAGATGTTTTATTGTTATATTATGTCACCTTTATCTGTTATCTGTCTCTTCTCTGTGGGGGATATTTCCTAATTTATAGATGGTTTGTCATTTCACTGCATGGAGATGTTAAACCCAAAAGCAATCAAACAGTCTCTTGATTCATTCCTAAAACTACCATCCAAGGGACTAAATATAGCTGATAACAAGCGCTTGATGAGAAAAGGCTATTGAAGAGAAGGGGTCCTAACCTAATTTTGATTGGTGGTGGAGTCAAACTGATAACATTTGCCCTATGAATAGAATTTGGGCTGCTGCTAATGATTCTTTTGAAAATCAATTAATCGTTAAGTTTATAAAATGTAAGAAAATAGTAAAAAATAATTCTCAGAGCTCAAGGTGATGTCTTTAAATTGTCTTCTTTTGTCCAACAAACAGCCCCAAACCCAAAGGCATTCATTGCACTGATATAAAACTAAGAATGCTGCACCAGAGAATGTCTGGTCATTTTGTTTATTGAATGATTTCACTGATTACAAAATTGTTTTAAAATAATTTTCTGTCAGTTGACTAATCTATTAATTGAATAATCATTTAACACTATTTAGCATAATTAGATATTTCTGATTCAGGATAAGGAATGAGGGCTGGTCTGACTCAAGAAATGTATATGAGTTATTACATATTGATATGAAAAATTTGTAAAATAATTAATTTCTCCAGTATCACTGTCACATTGAAGACAAATATCTCTAAATATGTGTTATTAAAGACCAAAGCTTGTGATACGGTGAGGTCAGAAATGCATCTATCTTTCAATGACAAATGACTCATTGTTCATTCAAGAACGAGTAATCAGCTAAAGATAGCCAATCAAGACAGTAATGACGGCTAATTAACTGACTATAATTAAATGAGCAACGGCAGACCGTGTCAAAACATATTAACACCTTGATAGTAAATAATGTACAAACATGTTGCGCCTTCGTCTGCAAAGTCGCTGCAACAGGTGAATTTGTCAAACGTACAATCTGCACCATCTACTGTATTTTTCAGATGTGATATAGAGAAACAACAATTCTCAGCTCTAAAAACATCAGTCACACTTAAATAAATCTACATCAAAGCCCTTGCAGTGCTAGAGGACATTTTTTGCTTCGGCATCCATAGTGTTGCTGCTAAAAAAAAGCCCCAAAATGTTCCACAGTTCATCATAACGTATCACAGAGTGGCTTATACCTTTCAGCTGCAGTCATTCATTGCAGATGTGAATGGCTGGTATATTAGAGCTGGAAATTGGTCTGCACAGGGCCACCCTTGTTGAAAACATGTGTAGGCTCAGACCTCATTGTACATGAACGTATCCATCATCCACGAGAGGGACAGCGATCACAAAGACCTGCACCACGCTATGGAAAAATACTGTAGAGCCAGCCACAACCTGAGTACGCAGCTGTCTGTCTGGTTGCATTTTGGTTTAAATGGCACCAAAAGACATCCGTAATATGTCATAAGTACAACTGAAAGATCTCAAAGGAGTGGGTATTATGTCTTTTAGAGAAGGGGATCACCACCTACTCTTCTGATCAGTAGTGGAAACATATTCATTCCTTCAAACCAACATGCATTCTTAGTTTTACTTCAGTAAACAAGTATTATCTGGAAATTTTACTTATGAATCAAAAGTAAAAGCCTTCCTTGTGGTCCCTTTCTCATCCTCGATGTGTTGAGCGTGTACGGTTTTGACTACTGTGTACTCTGGGGTGATTTAAACTACAGCAAGGCATCATGTTTAATGAGCTCATGCTGATCAATATTTCCGTCCAGCGCTGCAGGTGTCATTGAGAACACACAGCTCATGTTCTCAGTATTTCTTCTGGGAATTTTGGTCAGTGCACAACCCAAGGATGGGTTTAAAATCATATAATTACAGGCATATTACACAAAGTGGATTTTTAAATGCTGATTCTAAATGGGCTTTCTTTGCTCCCGCCTTGTGATATTCACTTTGATTTGACAGGTTGTTTTGGAGGTTAAATTGTCTTGTAACCCTTTAAAATCCAGCCGCTGCACTCCCCTCACTCTAACTGACATGTCCAACAGTATCATACAAAGAGCTTAAACTGAGCTTAAAGGCAATCAATCAATTTGTCAGTCAACAGAAAATGTATTGGCAACTATCTTGATAGTTAGTTTAAGGCATTTTTTTTAACAAAAGTGCCAAATATTCCCTAGTTCCACCTTGTCAAACAGGAGGATTCGTTCCCTGTCTTTGTCATGTATGATAGAAGCCTAAATATATTTGGGTTTTTGGACTGTTTGTGGAATAAAACAACCAAGTTGAATATGTCAGCATTGGCTATGATGAACTGTGTTGGGGAATTTTCACTATTTTGTGACACTGTTATAGACAAAACAAGAAATCAAGAAAATAATAAGCACACTAATCCATAAATATTTGTAAGTTTCAACCTTACTGATATCTAGTATGTAACAGCTTGTTCCAATTTAATGATGTTTAGACTACGTGAAATATTCAAAACCCCAAACTCAAACAAGATGTGAATATTAGTGATGGTGCATCATTTTGTACATCATTTCTCCATCATTCAGTCTGACAAACTCTTTATCTACTATTCTTTATAAACTTCAGGATCATCGTTAGAATAAAAGAAAGTTATGTGGATTTGAATTGGAGTGTAAGAAAATTTAAAAAATATATATATATCCAATTGCGATATTTTGTTTTGTGATATTGTATGAATTCTCGTAAACACTATACTTTTTTTTTAATTTAAATCTCCAACTGATAGATAGCGGTGTTGTAAACTGAGGGCTATGATGCTGGATGTTACATGGACTGTGATGAATACAAATGCAGTTCCCACTGTTCTGGTTACATAAAAGAGTAAACTATTCTTTACTCAGATTTTATGCATATGGCGGTGTGTTCTTTATACAATGAAAGTTTTCCTAAAATTAGATTTACTTATTTTTTAAAATCACAATATATCGCCTTGCTTACAGTAACACAATATATCGCAATAATCGTGATTTGTATCGTGGCACCAGATTTTTGCCAATACTGTACACGTCTCCATCATTCAGTCTGACAAATGTGGTATCTTTAGAAACTTTGGGATCATCATTAGAATAAAAGACAGTTATGTGGATTTAAATGTTTGGCTGTGTAATTGTGTAACTAATTGACCTGTCAGTAACACAATATAGGCTATCTATGGGTTGAAGAGCTTAACTTGGCTTGTAGCCACCATTTTAGGTGATGTATTATGACACAGTAGGTTTAAACCTAGAATAAAATGGTGATATAAAGCGGGAAAGCAGATCATTTACAGCTCTCTGATGCTGTTTTTCCACTGTTCCCCTGTATTAATCTCTGCACACATGCTCTGTGGATGTATGACACAGGTTTTCCCACCCACAGTGAGGTTATTGCTGTGACCTAACCTGTCTCATATATGGCGTTGTGGACTTACTTACTAACTAACTTTGCGGGTCGTGAAGACATCGGTCTTCGTCGAACAAGTCTGCACATTCAGATGTAATTTGAAACGTTGAGAGGGGGGGCTTTAAGGGCAGAACAGGCGGCCGTGATTGGTTCAGTGTGTCCGCTGGCCTTCAGAGGCTGCGCCTTCTCGACACTCCCTAAAAGGAAGAGAGATTGGCCGGCTGCTTTCAGCCGTTTGTCCCGCACTGAGTGTTAGCTAGGTAGCTAGCTCGGTTGTAGCCGTTGAGTTAACTGCCGTACCGGAGAGAGCAATAAAAGAAACAACAACTTCTTACCACACAGTGATGAGGAGACGGGACCGACTTCAGACCTCTTTATGGACTTTTTTTTTTGTACATGTTTTCTCAACGAGAACTCGGTGGCTCTAACTCTTCCCCTCTATCCTTCGTTAATCCGGTTTGACCAGGGAGAGGAGTGAAGTGCGACCCCGAGCTGGATGGATGGTTATGGGGAAAAGAGGAAGACCCTCGGCGCTTGACGTGTGCAGAGTCCTCGCCGTGTTTCTCGCACTCTTCCCCGCCGGTAAGATGCTACTTTATTTTTTACTTTACTAAAAAAGCGGCCAACCAGCTTGTTTTTACACCGGTACAGGTTGACCTAACTAAAGTTAAGTTACATGTTGAACTTATAACCATATTATAAAGCTAAACATAGAGTAACTTCGCAAGTCTTTTACATTGGGACAGCAAAGTTGCCGTGTTCGGTCACTATTTATTAGCCGAAATATTTTAGTGATATTGTAATTGAACTAGGTTTACTAAGTATACCCCAAAAAATATGATTGTTCTGCAAAAGTCCGCAAATTGTTGTAAAAATAGCTGAATACTTATAATAACCGTAGCAAATCAGTTGGAATCCCACCAAACCTCATACAAAAATCATTCAAATCTTCTATATCAGAGATTCAAGGCCAAATTACAAACATCTGGAAGGTTTGGAAAATATTACAACAAGCATGAAAGTGAACAACCTCCATTACACCGCCAAATTAGTTTAAGTCTGTGTAATGTTACTTAATTTTATTAGAGAAAGAGAAAACAAAGTGAGAGGTCTTTCTGGAGCTGCTGCAGCCCTCAACCCTTGTTTTGTTTGGGGGATGGGGCATGCCTCAGTAATTTCACATTAGTAGCTCCCAATAGTTTAATTTTTATTTTTTCCCCCACCCTAATAGATTATTGATTAAGCAAGGAATTTCATTTTGAAATGTTAATTGTTCCCCTCTGAATTTAATGAACTGTTTTTATAACGATTATGGTTTGAATGAGCCTGTTGAAGATGGTTTTAAAGCCCACATAACAGCTATTTTGGAGAAGCTTTTTCAAAAGATGTAGTAAACAGTATTGCTATAACAATGTAGCCCTACTGCAGCAGTGCAAATATTAAAAACCCACATGTTTGCATGAAATTCCCATAATCCCTTGTAATTTGACAAAAGAGTGATTGCAGTGGGGAGACCTCATTCAGCTCACCTTGCAGATTTGCCAAACCCTTATCAGTTTCCCTCTTAAGTCATTTACCGTCCAAAAACAAGGTGATAATGCACTGATAGCTGAGATCAAGATTAGTTTATTGCCATCTATCAAATGGGTGGTAAATGGAGAGGTGATGTGGGGGTTGGAGAGAGCTGCGGTGAAGCTTTAAGGAGGGATATTGTTTTAAGTGTGACTTCAAAGTGTTGATATGGCTTCCCTCCCTGGAGACACTGGGTGAAACTTCTCACAGCCAATTCGAATAAATGCTTTTTGTAGTCGAAGGTAATACTAGTCAAACACTGTGTTGCAACAGGGCATCCTGAAAATGTTTGCAGAACATTTGTGTAAAGAATTGGCCGGATGTGGCAATAAAGCTGGAGACAATCTATGGCCAAGCAGGGTTTGTTATCATCAAAGGTGCAGATTAGGATCCCAAATGGCATTTTTACTTCTACATAAACCAAATCCCACTAGGTGTGAAATGGAAGTACACTTCTCTACAATAAACAGTAAAGTTATATTCTATCCAGGATGACCAATAGGAGGTTCACAGACCTGCTTTTTGCTTTTGCTTATGAAGTTTTGTTTACAATATGATATAGATATTATTTGTCATTTTTCATGTTGCTGAAATAAACACATCAGCAACATATAATGGTACTTTCTCTTTCTATTAATTATCTCTAGCATTGGAGTGTTTATGAATTTTTGTCCGGATGCCAACTAGAAAACAGACAAAGCCAAGTATGTGGCAAAAGATAATAATTGCTGCATTATTATGTTTATAATTTGATGTATAGAATGCAAGTAAAGAAACACAGTGGCTGTGTTGGCATTACACAGTAGTTGACATTCATGATTAGTTGGATGTATTATGTAAATCTGTGTTTGTAAACCACCATCATTAGCAGATAGAGTCTATTTATAGCTTTATCTGTGTCAGTATCATGTTTATAAAATTATGTGGTGGCCTCTGGTTTGCTTCTTTTACTCAAACCATTTTTCCTCCCTGGCAGTGAGTCTGCAGTGCAAGATCCTGAAGTGTAACTCCGAATTTTGGGCCTCCACCTCGAACTCTGGACCGGAGGAGGAGTTTTGCACGGCGCTGCGGGCGTACAACAGCTGTGTACGCCGGACCGCACGTACCTGTAGGGGGGATTTGGCATACCACTCCGCCCAGCATGGCATAGAGGATCTAATGAGCCAACACAACTGTTCCAAGGAGGGGCCGACATCCCAGCCACATGCCCGCACCCCACTTCCTCCTCCACCCCCGCCACTCCTCCCTGACAGTCAGGAACGCTCCGATGGCCCGGAAGTGTGCCACTACGAGCGCAGCATTTCACGCAACACGGCGCCACCCAACTACACCCACTGTGGCTTCTTTGGAGACCCACACCTTCGCACCTTTGATGACGACTTCCAGACGTGTAAAGTGGAGGGAGCATGGCCGCTCATCCACAACAAATACCTGTCTGTCCAGGTGACCAACACTCCGGTAGTGCCAGGTTCTTTGGCCACTGCCACAAGCAAGGTGGGGATCCTTTCTGTTCCTCCTGTATGCACGTTAACATGGTCTACTTTCTACAATAACGCTATTAATCGCATAGTCAGTCAGTCAAGTATGGCTGCAACTAACAATTGCTTTCATTTAGCAATTCATCTGAAGATTAGTTTCGCCATTTATCAATTCGTTATTTCTTTTCCCCCTGAAAATAGTGAAAGGGACATTTGTTTTGGCCAACCAGCAGCCCAAAGCCCCAAAGTATTCAATTAACTTTGCAGCAAATTCTCATATTTTAGAAGCTGTAACAAGGAAATTTGGCCTTTCTGCTCAAATATGACTTTCATTTTTCAATTATCACTTATCAAAAAACCTGACGAATAATTTTTTTCTTGGTGGACTAATTAATCAGTCAATTGTTTCAGCTCTGCAGTCAATGCAAAATTATTCAACAACAACTGTGATAATCAGCTTAATTATTGAAGCCATTTATGAAGCAAACACGCCAAGCCTTTGTTGATTCCAGCTTCTCAAATGTGGAGTTTTCCTATTTCAGTTTATATTGAATCTTAGTGTGTTGTGGACTGTTGGTCAGACAAATAAAGCACATTGAAGAACCGAAACTGTAAACATTTTACGTTTTTCAGTTTCCTGATATTTTCTAGGCAACGTGATTTGGAAAAAAAAAAATTGTCAACAAATGGATCTATAATTTAGGATAAGTACTCGTTGCCCCTTGCTGCATTGATGTTAGTGGATGGTGACTTTAGTTAGTATTGGGTCCATAAAGGTCAGAGCATCATCAGAACATCATTCTGTTCATATTTCTGCATGTGTGAGTCTTTCATGTGGTCTGCTTTTCTGTCAAACTGTGGACTCTGCTTAGTGTTTGGATGAGTTCCATAATAACAGATAAAAAAGCCAAACCCAGCTCAATCACAAAGATCTTGATAAGCTTTATAAATGATATGTTAGTATTATAGCAACAGTGCTGCGTAGGATGTTAACATGAAGCTCCATTTTCACTTTTCACAGTGGACAGCTCAGGCTGATGTTTGCCCTACTTAGAGTGTAGTCCTCACCGAGTACATTAAATTCAAAACTGTATTGTCTCTACATTATGAGATTTTCTGTCAATGCTTTATCAGTAGTGCATCTTATTGTTGTATTTTTGTTTAGTGGTACATTGATTAGTTTGGATGGCTTTCAGTAGAACTTGAGGTCAAAAACAAAGAAGTAGGAGTATTTCAAGTTGGCAAATTCACTTAGTTTGTCCAGATTTGGCAAAGTTTTGACAGCAATGATTGCAAACTTCAGCCACTTTGCAGGGTATCATAACTGAAGTATTTAGACTGAGGTATAAGTGAACTTTGTCCTTAATCACATTTGTAGAAAGTATAATTTTCTGCAATCAAGGCTTCTTAATGATACTCTGTTATGCATTTGTGGGTTTTTAGTCTTTAAAGTAATGACATTTTTTTATATTGCTGTTCTTGGAAGCAAATGAGACAGCTTTTTTAAGATCTTGATTCTCGACAAAGGGAAAACAAGGCAGGAGCCAATGCCACCTGTACAAACAAGGCCCCTCTGGTAAAAGATCTGCATTAGCAGAGCTCTGAGTTTGGTACATTGCTCTCACTCGAGCAAATAAAACTGTCTGGTTATTTTCATCTTCATTCTGAGGGAGGGATAATAGAGGCATTTTCTTTTGTTTGTTTTCATTAAAAGCTAAAGAAATGAACCAGGACAAAAACAGAAGTTAATGTAGGATGGGAAATGTTCGCTGAGGGGAAGGGGAATTGAGACAGAACTGGTGCCACAGATGAATTGTCAAGCTAATAGAGTATTCTGTAGACTCCCCTCATCCCCTGTCCCAAGCGAGCAGACATCACAGACCCTAGGCTGTACTGGTATCACTGCTCTGACAATGGCTCATTGGTGTCCTGATGAAACCAAGCTTGCAGAGTCCTGACCGGTCTCACTTAATTAGCTGCAGAGTATATCGCTCCGTCCTGGCCTGACGCCACTCCCTGGAGCATAGTTCTGGGGTTCACAGGCAGGTTTTTCAGCGCTATGAATGGATCGTCTTTGTGTCTGCATACTGAGGCCTGATTTTACATGGCCGAGACTCATGTTTTTTGAGGGCGTTTACCTTGGCCTCCCCCGTGTTGAGCCAGTGCTGAAATGTGACACTTAAGTGGGGTGGTGGGGTAGATGGCACATATTGCACTAACTAGTTCTTAATGCAAACGTATAAGCACTCCTCTCTTTTTTTTTTTATTTTATGTTTACATTAACTGCAGTGTGCAAGGATTCTGTATGCGACCCGGCAAGCCATGACTGCAAACACATGATTTTTTCTGTTGAACATTAACGAGATTTCTCTTGGTTTTTTTTTTCTGTCCTGCAGCTGACAATCATCTTTAAGAATTTCCAGGAATGTGTGGACCAGAAGATGTACCATGCAGAGACAGACGAGCTGCCAGCTGCATTTGCAGACGGCTCGAAGAACGGAGGGGATCGGCACGGAGCGAACACTCTGCGCGTGGTGGAAAAGGTTCCCGGGCAGCATGTGGAGATTCAGGCCAGGTACATTGGAACAACCATAGTGGTCCGGCAGGTTGGCCGCTACCTGACGTTTGCCGTGAGGATGCCAGAGGAAGTTGTGAACTCTGTGGAGGAAGGCGATAACCAGGACTTGTACCTGTGTCTTCACGGCTGTCCCGCCAACCAGCGCATCGACTTCAGGAACTTCCGAGCTCGAGCAGCAGAGGCCCACAGCGCAGGCAGGGCCAGGAGCGGCGTAGGCTTTACCTACCAGTCTGCTAAGGCCAAGTGCAAAGAGCGGCTCCCCGTGGAGGACCTGTACTTTCAGTCCTGCGTGTTTGATCTTCTCTCTTCTGGAGACATAAACTTCACCATGGCAGCCTACTACGCCTTTGAGGATGTAAAAATGCTCCACTCAAACAGCAAGAGATACCACATCTTTGAAAAGGATGCTTTTATGAGCCGCGCAGCACAGAGGAGCCAAAATTTACTTTCACTCTTCCTCTTCAACCTCCTTGCCGTCTTACTGTGGACTGAGTGCTGCACACTTCATCTATAGTCCCTTTACAACAGTGTCCTCATGGTGCATCTGTCAGTGAGTGTTAGTTCCATCGCTGTGTCGTACATTGGCTGCTGTCTTCCGCTCTCGTTCTGTGACTTGACGGCGGCTTGCCAAAAAGGGTCATCCCAGCCCCGAGTCTCATTTTAGTTGTATTGTCATGTCGTGACATCAGTCTTAATGACAAGGCAAGTTCACCGTGCTCCATCATCACGTGTATTTAGCTGGTTCGTAGGACTGGTCTTTGAAGAGAGCAGCGGTGAGAGAGCCCAGCTACTCCCAGAGCTCAGGATATCCACCTGGGATTAAATCCCACATTCTCACCGGGGCTGCATGCCTATGTGAAGCCGGACAAGATGATCTTTTGCAGAAAGAGGAGTTTGCTGATCCTCCCTCCACTGATCCCCTCATTGGTGCCAAGCCAGTGAAGCTCTCTGTGGCTCCTGTGGCGAAGCGAGAGGACCTGACAGGGGCTTTTGTTAACCTAAGGCCAGAAGCAGCTCTATGTTTGATTAGTTTCCAGCTTTGGAAAAGCCTGGGCCTTTTTGGAGGAAGCACTCAGCCAAAAGGATGTCAGAGCAGCGTCTCCAGTTGTCTGCTGTGGAGATTAATGGGTCATATTGTTAGGTGTGTGTGTGTGTGTGTGTGTGTGTGTGTGTGTGTTAGTACAATATGTGTGCAGAAATCCGCGTCTGTGGTTAATTTTGTGTGTTTGTGGGTGCAGGAGTTCCCAGAAATGAGATAACCAACCTCCATTGGGAGAAATCTTTCCCATGTTTTTAATGTTGCACCCAAAATTTCAGAAATAGAAAAAGACGAGGCGCTCCACAGTCTGTTCAAATGTACTCTATCAGCCAAGTAGCGAATCCCAAAAGGGGGCCGATAAAAATAATCCCTTTTCATCTGTACGTCATTTCATGTGTCATCCAGCCTTTCACTCCATTGTTTGAGCTGACACGTCGATCAGACAGTGTTTTGTATTTTAAGTCTGTAATGTGAATGTAGCCAACAAGAACGCAAAAGAACAACCTTAGTTAAGGGCACTCGAGAGTGTTTACAGAATGTAGATCACAACCAATCAAACTGCGACGCCTCTTTTGATAGCGTTTTGTGAATTTTACTCTCCATTTCAAGCCTCGGTTGTCGCCCAGCAGTGCTGTAGATACTGTTAGTACTAGCTGTAAAGACGTCGCCTCTAGTCTGTTTAGCATTTTATAGACTACCAGTGTGCTGACCTGACTGTGGCTCACCGCGTAAATGATAAGCATATGTCTGTAGACGTGATTTCATGGCTTAAGTCATTGCCAAAGAACAAGCCCTCGTGCCAACACCCCCCCCCCCAACAACTGAATTTTCATCTTTTCAGTCTGTAAACGATTCACATTAGGGGGATTCTTAATTGTATATAACTTGTGTGTTTGTGGGTGAATTTGCAGCAAGCAGAAAAATTACAGTGACACACTATAAAGGCAGCATTCGTTTCTGTTTTCGCCGTCTCACCTTTCGCTTTTCTTGTGTTTCATGATAGCATTCCTCGTCACGAGAGGTTTCCATTTGAACTTTGGCTCTCAGCTGCAGTATCTGGTAATGTGTAAGTCATTCCTGTAGATACTGTTACTACTCGGGCACAGTTTTATGGTCATTTATCCTTTACACTGAAGTATTCAGCAGGCCTTACTACTGCTATTTGGAACATGTATTGGTGCAGTTTAACAACAGAAAAAAAAAATCACACAAACAAATGATTGTAATGTTGAATCTTGTGTTAATAGATGTAATTTGTGTTGTGAGTTTTGCAGTATATGGTTCTACACGTTTAATGTGAGATTGTACATAAGTTTTGTGAGTTGTTGAGTTTAAATTTGTATATTACCAGTTGTGTTTTGAATTTATCACTCCAGTTTTTGTACATCAGATGTTTTGGTGAATGTGAACCTTTCTTTTATTTGAAAAGGGAATTTTTTGCAAAAACATGAACACCACAGAACAAACTTTTCTTTACTAAATGTATTATACTCGCCAAGTCTTTGTGGAGGAAGTGATAAAATGTTGGATCCCTTTTGCTTCCAAATCTAACATCCCGAATTCAGCCCACCTTATCTATAAAGGGAATGTAGGAACGTGTTCTGGGGTGTTCATGTTTTTGAGTTTAAAAGCACTTTATGTTTTCTTTTTCATTTAGCTCTTATTTGGTTTGAAATTGTGTCAGACTGTACTGGTTAAAAAGGTTGAACAAAAAAAAAGAATAGCTGAATGGGAAATGCCAGACAGATCAAACTGTGTTTGTATGTAAAGCAAATGTTGTGCCACACGCCAGCTGTTTATAATGTAAATTATTTATTGAATAAAAGAAAATGTCTTGTTAAAGAAGTGCCCTTTTGTCTCATTTGCTGTTGCTGCAAGAGCTTTTTTTGAAATCACCATGTGTTTCTCACCGCAGTTTGTGGTGTTAGACTGCCCCCTGTTGTAAAGATGTGGTGATGAACGTGAGCAGATGTTTGTGGTACATGAGGACATCTTAGTAAAAAGTAAAACTTAAAAGCTTTGTATAAAGGAGCTGAGTAACTTTTAGGAAAGTATGATTCTTCAATGCAGGGTTAGGGTAATGTGTCGTGTCTCTACAGCTTCAAGCACACTTTGTTATGATTAAGGATGTGTTCAAGATTACAGTCACTTCACTACATTGTAGTATGCAAAAGGGTGTTTGAATGAGAATTCCCCCAGAATTCTGTTGACAGTTTCAAACATGCTTTGAGATGTTGTTCGTAAACATCTTAAATGAGTTAAAGACTGGTAACTATTTTAAGTGAGAACCATCTGTGGAGGCCTTAAGATATTATTTGAAATATTCAAAAAACTTGTAAATTCGGTTTAGTCATTTCACAGCTCTGCTGCAGTAGGTTACTTTTATAAAAATAACGTATCATATTTGTGGAAATTTTAACATGGTCCTGAGCAGTACATGAGGCAGATAATCTGAAAAATTCTGGTTCCTCTGGCTCATTGCTTCTACTGGCATTTGCAATTGCCTGGATGAAAACAACCAATCAGAGCAGAGAAAGATATGAAGACGCTTTGGGTTGGTGGCTTGAGGATAGTTGATTGTTAAACTATCAGCTATCTTCCTGGGCTCTGATTGGTTTGTTTTCGTTCATTAGGAGGAGCCAGAGGAACCTGATCTGTCTCAGGTACTACTGTTAGGATATAATGAAAGTTTCAGCAATTTAGTTATTCAAGTAATTTTTTTGAATTAATGTGGCAAATGTGACCATCAGGAAGAATCCCACTAACCTAAACATTTGATTGTATTCATGCTGAATCCATTATTCTCAAAAATCTGGAAAGCGTGTAGCTGTTGCCTCTTCTGGTCACCTGACTGACTTACAAGAACTCCCTTAAGGACATTTCTAAATGCCTGCCCTGAAACAGTACTGTGTCTTTGCTGACGAGATGATAAATGATGCAGTTGATCCTAAATGCAATATCAGGAGGGAAAAGAAAGAAGACATTGTGTAACAAAGTTTATTACATATGTCCAAACATATGTACAGCACATTTCTCATGAAGAGTGGTTTTGTCACAAATATAAATTATTTAGACTTTCTTAAAGAACATATGATACAGGAACTGGAGCTTGCTTAACGTGGAAGAAAAGAGGTGCTGGCTGTTCACTGTAACAAGTCGATTAAGTGCCCTGGACGAAACACACATGATTTCTGTATATCAATGTTTATATCTTCCCCTCAAATCATCAACTCCTTTGGAAACTACAGGATGATTACCAGAATACATGGTCCCTTCGCCTTTTCTCACTGAATTATTGAGTCATTCAGAGCGATTTCCTTAAAATGTGACTTTAATACTTCACATCCTGCCTGTGTTAGACCCCAGTACTGTCCATGGATCAATATACAGTATGATAACACACATAAATAAGGCACAAATGGAGAAGCATAAAAAAAACATTTGAGGGTCAGAGCAGGACCAGATTTGGCACAGGAAAAGAGTGACCAAAGGTAATAAACATAATGAAATGTCATCAGCAACTTCCTGGTAACCCTTTAACCCTACCAGCAACAAACCATAGAATACGACACGAAAATGTTTTTATCACGTAGTATTTTTCAGACATAATTGAGTACTTACATACAGTAGGTGGAAAGATGGGTGAAATGACTAAACTACACGGAAGTACCATTCTTAACCATCATAATACTGACAGGCAAAAATAAAGGATAGTTCTAAGACATAGTGTTATGAACCTTTGCACGAGTTGTTGCAATAAATACTGCTTACAAAGCTTCCAATTCATTGGGCCTACCAAGAGGAAAGTGGTTAAAGTGAACAAAGCAGAGGATTGCAATGATTTATATAGCTACACCATTAGAGAAATGATGATTATTTGTACATGTGAGAAATATGAGTTTGCTAAAACATGTTCACACCTTTTTTTTTGTTGTTGAGTGCTTTAGAAAAAGCATACTGGCTTCAATGATCATTCAAATTTCAAAAAGAATTAGGCCGTCCCATCACACCAACACTTTTAACCCACACGGTGATACTCAGCTCAGCTACATGTTCAGGGTTAACATTTCAAAGGTGCAGATGCATTGCACATTCTTTTGTACTGAAATCTTCTAAATGACATCATTTGCAAGACTTAAAGCTAAACACACAAAAAAAAAAAATAATGTCCATGTCATGCGTCCTTTGGGAAAAAATCCCATACATTTACCATTCGAAAAGGCCAAAACCTTCAGGCACTTTTAGGATTGAGATCAGTCAGCAGTTCATGTATCCTAAATTCTCCTTAGCTAATAGTCCATGGGACTAAGCATCCATCAGCGTTCCACTCAGTCTTAGTCATGGTTGACTGATCGAGTCAATACATTTAAATAAAGATCCTTGTTTTAGTTTTGTTTTAGTCATGAAGATGACAGGAGGAAACAAACTTCTTCCTTCAGGGCACAAATCATTCGCAGCCAGAGTCACTGGAGGAAAAGAGCAAAACAGTTTTGCTGGTAAAGAGGGTACAAAGTTGATTCCCTTTCCAACTGTGAGCTTATGATTGGTGAGTCCAGACTTGTCCATCAGCAGCATGTGGCTTTGACCCTGGACAAAAACACACAGATCAGTTTCGCAGCCAGCACTGGCACACTTTATGTTTTCCTGTTGTTCCAGTTCGGATCTGCTGCAGTGTTTGGCTCTACGGGGCGCTCGGGCGGAGAGCGGGAGTCCTGGGGAGACTTCTGAGTCTGCGGGGAGCGAGGGTCCAGCAGCGGTGGAGGTTTGTCAGAGTGGAAGGGCCTGCTATAGTGCTCTGGCCCAGGTGGACCTGCTGGCCTGTGCTCTGGCATCCTCCTGAAGTCCTGCAGAGGGCCATCTCTTCCCTGGTGGTAGTTGGGACGGAATTCATCGCTGCGTCTTCGTTTAGGGTCTGGATGCCTGTAATATCATTTATAGCATTTTTAAGTGGTATTACATAATAGTACCCTAATACTCAAACAAAAACATGGAATCAGTGTTGAAGTAGCTCACCTGTCGTAGTAAGGTCTGTGACCCCTGTGGTCCCGGTCGTTGCTGTACTGGTCATATGGCCTTTTTCGAGGTGAGCTGTTGTTGCGGTAACTGCCTGAGCTGCGGTACGAGTCTCCATGTGAACGTCGATCACCATAGTGATCCTTGTAGCGATGTGGGTCATAGGGATGATGTCTGTCTCCCTGCCATGACTGGTTGCTGTTACCTGGGTAGTTGTATTTACGGTCCCTCTGCCAGTCTCCCCTATCTGTAATGACACATTTAAAAGCAGTTATTAAAATACACAACGTCAGTTAAAGGAAAGTTTAACATTTTGGGGAAATATGTTCCTGCCGAGAGTTGAATGATAAGATTGATACCGCTGTCAAGTCTGTACAGTGTAGTGAAAGTGTAGCTACAGTCAGGACATGGTTATTTTAGCTTAGCACAAAGACTGGAATCGGCCAGCCCAGCAACAAAACCTGCCCACCAGAGCATCTAAAGCTCTCCAGTGCTCGCTCTGTTTGGCATGTTCTGTGCCTTTAACTAAAACAATCCTGTCCGCACATACCATCATTGCCAAAGTGGCGCTTATTAGCCATGTTGTACGGTTCTCTGTGGTGTCCGTGCGTGCCTGGCTGACTCGAGTGTGAAGCAGATTTGGCCGATGGCTGAGTACCCGTGGAGTCTCGACTGGAACCAGACGGTTCCGGTCTGAAACTTTTGACCCTCCCCGTAGGATCCTCCTTCTTCTTCTGTTCCTTCTGGAAATGTCACAGGATATTTTTTTTTTCAGTGTTGGCGATTTACAAAAGATCATGTTCACTTTATAACACTTTGATAAAGCAGAGTTAACAACTAGAAAGAGGAACAACTTGCCTCTTCCTCGTGGGATCGCTTCTTCTGAGCCATTTTGTACAGCTTGTGAAGCTTCCTTGCACCGAACTCTGTAAACTTAGACACAAATATCCAGAGGTTTCTGCCAAAAAAAAAGAGCACAAAATAATAATTAGCAGAGGTAAACAGGAGAGTATTGTGATTCATTTCACAAAGATGATACCTAATCATCACACCTTCGCCATATTTTGACATGTTCTGGGTCACTGTAGGCTTTAAGGCACTCTGTGATTCGGTCTCCAATCTTCAGAAGACACGTGCGAGTGTGCTGGAGCTGCTCCTGGTCGGATAGACCCTCGTCTGGTTTATCCAACTGCTTCAGGGCCTTTTTCACTGGCCTCATGCGCTCCTTACACTACACAGAAGCATACATTTATTTATTTTTAAATAAACTGCTTGTTAATGATAAGAAAACTACAACACGTACACAGCTCCCACACATGACTTGTCAAACTCCACTGGCTTAATCTTTGCACGAGAATTAAAGAAACTCACAATACTGAAAGTCTCCTGGTCGAGTTCATCATCCTCCTTTCCTTCAATGGGGACGGGCTCAGACCCAGCCGTAATGTGGACTGGACCTTGAGTCTTCTTCCCTTTGCCTCCTTTAGCCTGAAAGACAAAAATACAAAGACTTTAAGACAATTAACCTACATACGACAGTCATACATTTAAAAGATTATTCCCAGCATTCTAGCTATGTTCTTTTAGCCTCGTGTAGCATTTTAATGCAATAATGGAAATTTGAACCTGTTTGAGGAAAGCACATATGATCAGGTCACGAATACTTTGCTGAAGTACCTTTTCTTTTCTGGGCTTGGTACCCTTTTTTTCTTTGTCCCCGTCCTTCTCCTTTTTAGGAGTTCCCTGTTTTTCTTTGTTCTCTTTGTTATCCTTTTTCTTTTGTCTTTTCTTGGCGGGGGACTTCTCTGTTCCGTCGTCCTGCTCAAACACGA